ACAGTTTATTATTTTTTTTTAAAAAAAAAGTAATGGAATATAAAAAAAGTAATAGAATATATTTTTTTTTTAAAATAAAAATGGGTAGTTTTGGTTTTGATCATCAATCAATTTTTAATATGTTTAATATCCCGGATCTACATATTAAAAATCTATCATTGATCGGCAGACCATGAATTAATCATTATTTATTTTTACTATATGGATTTTGTATGCATCCTTTATTTATTATTTAATAGAATTGACAAGGAAATTTATATGGCATTATTTAAATTCTATTTTTAAAGATTAAATGATGTATTTTAATAAATTATTTAATAACACCTTCAGTAGGAATAAAAATCATTATTAATATAATAATATGCTATATATTAGTTAAATAGCATATCTGACATTGACTGATCTTGGGTAAGCTTGTAGAAAAGTTAAAAACGCATATATTATATAATTTTGATGAAACTCTCAACCTTGCCCAAAACACTAATAAAAAAGTCGACCAACTAACTGAGGAAATTAAAAACATTAAGCAAACTATTGAACAACTCCATGAACAGATAAAAAATAAACAAATTAGAAACTGAAAAAGCCAAAAAAGAAGCCAAATTAGCCAATGAATGACTGGATAATTTAATTACTCTTAGTGATTACTCCACCCAAGAATCTAAAATTGATAAAATCCAAGGAATCACTAATTGAGCATTAAAAAGGACTTAGCCTTAAATTACATGACCAATTAATAAAGCACCTGCCATGTTTTTCTTGTTTTTCTTTTCCCTTGAAGATTCAATGAAAAGATCTGCACAGAATTTAGCCAATTAGAATTTCTTTTCATAACGTCGATCATTACAGGGTATTATCCCTGGTTGAATTTAGCCAATCAGAATTTCTTCTAGAATTTTTCATACCATCGATCATTACGGTATTTAGTATTTCCATCTATGGAAATATCCCTGACTGGAATAATCTGATCAATTTGTTCAGAATTAATGATTATCTTACTTTCCGCTTCCTTTTTTTGGCATCTCTAGTCCACTGTAAAATGCAATAGTTGAAAATATCATCAAAGGCTATTTTTAACTGACGAACACCTTTTTCATTGGTTTTTATATAGTATTTTACTTTGCGTAATCATAACAATAATATTATAAATAATATAATTACAAGATGTCAAGGCAGCACACCATTTAAAAAGAAACATTTTGAGTATGCAAAGTTTGATTACAAGAAAATTTACAAGTGAAGCACACATGCTACCTTGAACACTTACAGCCATTCTCTCATCTTCCTCATTGTCTGTACAAGGCTAATCTGACCAGCTCCCTCCAATGATACAATGATGCAACAGAATTCCAGGGGTATTGCGTGGCTCTGGAGTTTACTGAGACTGCACCAATTGTCAATGACACTTTTCACTAATCTTCCCAGATCAGAGAAGGCTGCTGGCATGTTAGACGAAAATTTGCCTGCAATGGTCCCACCTCTGGGGTAAGGATGGCTCTGTGACCAAGTTGCAACTCTGCTGATGAATTGTAATATTAAGTGTGCATAAATATCCAGATCCATCAAAGCAACGAGAATCTGCAGCTTGTTTCAATCGGCCATGGTGAGTTGGCGGAAAAAACCTTTGATTATCTAATTCCTCCTGCTAACTCATTTCCTTACACTGTGCGGGCGGTTTCCGAGGTTCTTTCTTCGGATGGTTCTTCTTCTCAGGCCTCCATTTGTGCTACCTCTTTATCACTCATGATGGCCGGGGTTCCGCTAATTAGACCGGCTGCTGGTCACCAGGAGGTCACAATTCAGAGCAGGGTTTGTGGCCCTGAAATTGCATTGGGCTCTGATGTTAAGAGGAAAGTTGTAAA